TGCTGAGAGGGGCTTAATATGTGGAAGTGGACATTACACTTAACAGTCTGGAATTGTTCCATCCCATCAAGATACCCTATCAGGATCCACTGTTTCACATTCTTTTGAATGTCAGCAGAGGTTATCTGCGATGAGTCAGAACAGACACAGGCTGGTGTACCTGTCTACATTCAGAACAAAGAGGAAACTTTATGTTTTAAAAAGGCTCCAAGTCTAGAGTTGGGCTCTGCCTCATGGAAGCTCTGTGACTGTGGACAACTTACTATCTTCTCAAAGCTTCATTCTCCTTAGTCTTAAAAGAGAAACATCAGCAGCAGAACGTGCCTCCCAGGGCTTGTGTGAGACCTGAGGCCCCTGAAGCCACGTTTTCAGAGTGGTGTGTCACTGAGGTTCCTGAACACAGAGACAGGTAAGAACTTACTAGAAGGTGGCTGGCATCATTACATTCAGGCGATACAGTAAAGTGCTCGACTGGTACTCAGAAGACTGATTGTTTGACAGCCCCCCCCCCAAAAAAAAAAAGACCTGGAGTGGCATCCACTTCCTAAACATCAGGCCTCCAGAAACTCTATGAACTTTGATAAATGTCGATAGTTGTAGAGGGGCTTCAGGCCTTTTGTTCATAGGGTCGCAATGAGTCGTGCTCCACTTGAAGGCAGCCAAGCAAACACTCCGAGACAGTTCCACTCTGTCACACGGGGTCACTGTGTGCTGAAATCAATGCTATGGCACCTAACAGTCAGGATGCCATTGTTATGAGCTGTCAAGTCGAGCATGACTCATAAGGACGCTGTGGACAGATCTGAGCCCTGTCCTACCCCGTGCCATCCTCACAATCTCTGACACACTTGGAGCCACTGCCTTAGTCACCGTGTCAATCCACCTGGTTGAGAGACTTCTTCTCTGTCAACCCTCCACCTTTCCAAGCACCACGTCCCTCTCCAAGGAACAGCCTCTCCTAACGACATGCCCAAAGTGTGTGTGAGACGACGCTTTATCATCTTTGCCTCCCATGCCATTATATTTATATTATTTCTTTAACCATATTTTTTTTTCTTTTAAATTTCATATTCAGAAGCTAATATGAGGAACTGCAGAGAATAGGAACAGGTCATCATGGGCCAGTGAGGTCACAGTCCACTCCCTCCCTCCCTCTCTCGACCCAACGTTCTGTTTGAGGAGGGAGGGTGGTGAGTTATCTCTGTATTCGGGAAAATTCCCGCTGACTTTATTTTGTCCCCACCCTTCTACCAACTGCCACAGCATCACGAGCGGGCTTGTCAGCGGTGGCGGCAATGGCAACAGCTGGAAGTTTCCATCTGCCGACCCGAGCAAAGGTAACGCTATTTCTGGCCTGCTGGTCAAGCCACACAGGAAGGGCAGCCAGCTCCCCGCTCCCGCCAGGCCCCAGGAGCCGGGAATTTCTGCAGGGCCTCAGCAGGAAGTCCTGGCAGATTTTAACTGCTTGGTGAGGGTGGGGGTCACCAGACCTAGCAAGTCCCTAACTGGGCCCCCAGCACACCCCAGAACGCCTTATGCATGGGGTCGGTCTGTGCTGGCTCGGTGCAGAGGGACCTGGGCATGGAAACTGGGATGCACCGCAGAGTTGCTGACCCCAGAGCTTGGCTGCAACCACAACTCAGCACCCCATAATCAAACCTCAAGAACAGAGACACCACCCTGCTTGAGGCTGCGCCTCCTCCACTGGCTCCAGAAAGAGAGAAAACGTGCAGTGACGGGTTCTCAGGTTTCTTTAACTCTTCTCTCCCCAGACCTGCTTTTCTCACTGACCTTACAGATACAAAACGACTGTCGGGGTCGGGTTTTCAGGTAAGTCAGGAAACACTCCGAGAAACAAGACCGGCCTTGAGACAACAACTTCAAAGCCCAGGCCAGCACAGGGGCTGACAGCAGGGCTCAGACTTGTGCTGTGAAAGAAGCAGAGGCTCAAAGGCATGTCTGCCACCTCCCAGCCCTCACTCTCTGCCCTCCGTCTGCACACGCCCCCTTCCAGGCTCTGTGCAATTGTGGCTTCTAGAAATGGCAGGGTCTGGATGTGCACATCAGCAGAGTGTGGGCCCTCCTCATACCCCACTTTCCAGGAGAGGGGGTGGGGTTGTCCTGGCAGCAACCCTTGGGTAACTTTGCTACTTCTCCCTCTGCCCAGTGTGCATGTATGGATTTAGGATGCTTTGATTACTCTCTGGCGCCTCCTATAGACCACAAGGTCTGAGTTCTCCTTTACTGTATCCCAGCACATGCCACCTAGTCGTCAGGTGCTGTGAAGTCAACTACAACTCACTCTGAGATCCGAACCTTGTCTTATCCAACGGCTTCTTCAGGATCACAGATGTGCTCACGCCCACTGTTACAGGCACCTGTTACAGGCACTGTGTCAATCGATCTTATCAGTGGTCTTCTCTTTCTCTGACCCTCCACCTTTCCCAACAAGAGGTCCTTCTCCAAGGACTGGTCCCTCCTTGGCAGCATGTCGAAAGTATGTGAGACAAGGTTTCACCATCCCTGCCTCTAAAATCTACTGAATCAATTAAGTGAAATGTTCAGAGTCTCTGATCCAGAGATTCCCCTTTCAGAACATGTTTTTTTTAGGGAGCTCTGGTGGCCTACTGACAAGAATCTGCACTGTAATCCTGAAGGAATGAGGTTCAAGTCCACCAGATGCTCTGCTGGAGAAGGAGGGGCACTCTCCTCCTGTGCCAGTTGGTCCTGACTCAATGGTACACAACAACAGCAACAAATATGTATGTTCTTTTTGTGTGCCGTCAAGTCAGAACTGACCCATAGCTGACCTTCCAGTGGGTTTTCAGAGGCAGTTAATAGCATGAGAGGAGAGAGAGCACATTCTTCTTCCATGGAAGCAGCTGGTGGATCTGAACCGTGCGCCTTCAGGACTGCAGTTCCGTTTCTTATCACTAGGCCACCAGAACTTCCTTTTTAGAATATAAAACCCTGCACATACTCAAAACTGTGGCTGCGTGAGTGCATAGATATTAACGGAAAGGGATTTGTTGCAATCAGAAACAAAACAATTAGAGAATCAGATCAGTTATGGTAAGCTCTGCAGAGGAAAATGACAAAGCCCCTTAAAAAGAATCAAGTGGGTCCCTATCTACTGACTTGCATGAAAGGATCACCAAGATTTACAGCAAATGGGTGTTAGTCACAGGTAGTACTGTGGAGCACTGGTGGCCTAGCGGCAAGGAGCTGCACTGCAATCCCGAAGGCATGAGGTTTGAATCCACCAGCTACTCCGTGGGAGAAGGATGGGCAGTCTCCTCCCATGCGATTAACTGCCTCTGAAAACCCCCTGGAGGGTCAGCTCTGGGGCAGTTCTGACTCGATGGCACATAACAACAGTATATAATAATCAGATAAATAGATATAATTAGGTGGGTTTATAAGAATGAAACGACCCAAAGAGGAAACCATCAAACTCTCACACCTCTTCAAAGATGAATTAGAGGAAGCATTCCATATTTAGGTTTCTAATCTCTGCCTGTATGGATTGTTTCCATTATGTTATAGAGTTAGTGATATTTAGTCATTCAGAGGGCAGCTTGCTGTGTGACCAACAGCAAGTTATTTCTCTGAACCTCCGGAGCCTCATCTGTACCTCTCAGGTAACAGCAGTAACTATCTTGACACTGGTGTGAAGACATCTTCTATGTGGAGAGCCACAACCCCAGAAAACATTCAGTATATTGAAAAAAACTCCCATCAATCAGAACTGACTCGTAGCTGCCCTCCAGCAGGTTTGTGGAGGTTATAAACTGTCTGTGAGCAGACAGACCATCTTCCTTCTGGAGGATTCGAACTGCCAGAGATAGCAGCACAGGTTCCCCCAACACTACCATAACAGCTACTATTATTATCATCACAACATATCATTTCTCCAAACACTATTCTCTATAAACACATATACACACATATACGTATAACGTTTGTCTTTTTGTGGACATCGTGCTTGGAAGGGTGGGGGGACAGCGCAAGAGAGGAAGACTCTGGATGAGACAGACTAACTCAGTGACTGGGGTAATGCTGTGTGAGAGACAATGAGGTTGGCTCAGGATATAGCAGGGTTCAGAGCTATTGTACACAGAGTTGCTATGAGTCATAAGCGACTCGATGGCACATAACAACAAGAAGGAGAAAAGGGAACTCCAGTGGCCCAGTGGTAAGAAGCTGCGCTGCAATGCTGAAGGTACAAGGTTTGAATCCACCAGCTGATTTGCGGGAGAGGAATAGACAGTCTCCTCCTGTGCCAATTAACAACCTCTAAAAACGCACCAGAAGGTCAGCTATGGGCCAGTTCTGACTCGAGGGTACACAACAACACAAAGAGAATGCATTCATGTTTCCACGAAGTTCTCTAACTAGCTTTGGATTACCATCAAGTCCAAGAGGCTTCTCCCATAGGCTCGAGACCAGACCACGTGTGTCCAAGTGAGAATGCAAGTGCTTCTCCCACTGGCTCGAGACCAGACCATGTGTCCAAGTGAGAATGCAAGTGCCTCTCCCATAGGCTCGAGACCATGTGTTCAAGTGAGACTGCAAGTGCCTCTCCCATAGGCTCGAGACCAGACCATGTGTTCAAGTGAGAATGCAAGTGCTTCTCCCATTGACTCAAGACCAGACCATATATCCAAGTAAGAACAGACAGATTGCAAACACAGGTTATTTCCAACACTTTCTCAAGGATGGCTCCACACTTGTCCCTTCCCATATCAGCAGGGTGGGGCTGAAAGGCTGTCAGCTCCCATGAAACTCTTCCTGCGATAACAGCGCAAACTGCTCCATCCCTACAGGTTCCTGGGCAGATGTCCGTGAGAGAGCTTTGCAGAAATGGGAGAGGCAGGACCCCACGCTCCCTCATGGTGCCTTGCCCCAGAGAAGCTTGTCCGGGACCCAGTTTATGGAGCTTGGAGCCCAGGGCACAGTGGGCTGGACCTCTGTGCATTTCACATGGCCCCAGGGCTTACCTGCACAGCCAGGTAGAGCCTGCGGGGGCTCCGTGGGCCAGGCCAGTCCAAGCTGAGGGTTCGGCACTGAGCTAGGGCAGGACGCGTGGCACTTCGGACACTGGCGTCCTCCTCGCTGCCAGCCGGGGTGTCTTTTCCACGCCCTGTCCCAGGACAGAGAGTAAGGTGAGATTCTCGACCGACCGCTGGCGTGGACCACTGGCCAGCACCTTGTCTGAGCTCAGATTTCACCCATCCTCCCAAAAACTGGCCCAGGTGAAGCCAGGCAGGTCACACGCCCTCTCGCAGGACTGCTCACTGTGTCCAGCAGGAGGCACCTGCTCACTGACCTCTGGAGGCGAAACAGTTAAGTGCCCTGCTCATAACCAAAAAGGTGTCTGTTTGAACCCAACTGGTGACCAGCCTGCGTAAAGAGTACAGTCTAGAAAAGCCCCTGACACCATTCTCCTACAAGGAGTCTCTATGGGTCAGGGTGGATTCCACGGAATTTAACACCACAGAAGAGCAGAGGATGGATTCCAAGCTGCCTGAGTGAAGCTTCCAGGTGAGGTGTGCTGCCTCCGCCCCATTTCCCAGGCCGCCTCTAGGTGGCAATTTCTCCCCGGCCTACTCTCAGCCCGCACTGGGTGGCCTGGTCCCTGCAACCCTCTCCAGGACCAGCGGAAGCAGCTCGGATTCACCTCCTTCACCTGACTGCGGAGGGAGGGTGCTGACGGGCCTGGATACCTCCCTCCCCGCCCGGGGACTGCCTTGCAGACACAGCCAGGGCGACTCCCTCCACTTGGCCTGTGGAGCCCGGTGGGCTGGGGAAAGCGGCAGAGCAGCCTGGGGTCAAAACATGTGCAAACTGCTCGGTCAAGTGTTTCCAGGCCTCCCTGACCTTCAACTTCACCCTCCCTGACCCTCAGCTTCCTCATCAGGAAAATGGAGATAAGAGATGAAACCTCACAGCCCCGAGGTGAGGATTAAATGGATCAGACACATTAAGTGCTCACAGAGCAGGGGCACACAGCAAGTACCCACAGAAATGGGCTCTGGGGCCTCACACCCACCTGGAGAGGTGGGGAACATCGTCTTCATTTGACAGGCAAGGAACCATGAGCCCAGGAGGGCTAACAATGTTCCCGGTGTTCCCCAGCCCACATGTACCAACTGACCCTCTGGGCAGGCCAGAGGATGTGGGGGAACCCAAGGCCAGGGCAGGTCACTGAGTGGCCCCCACCACCACCAAATGCAGGCACTAGGCTTGGCATTATACACAGAATGTCAGCTGACCTTTGTCTCAAACGTTTTACACAGAAATGGACAACATTTTAAAAAATGGATAAGAATCACAAGATTCTCACAGTGCATATTTAACAAATCTATATGAATACTCTTAAAAGACAAGGAAGAATCACATAAAATGTTCAGTGACAGGCTCTTAGGGGATTTTTATTTTCTTCTTTATACTTTTCTGGGGTTCCCTCCTCCAAAGAGAAGTGATTTTCATCTAGAGTTCTGGTTGTTAATTTTTTCTTTTTAAATCCTAAAAGAAAAAAACTCATGGATATTCCATGTCTACTAACCCTTAGGATAGCCCTTTAAACTGCCCCACTCCAGAGGCTTTGGGGTTGAGAACTTAAGAGGGGTGTCTGGAGAGACCCCACTGGCGCAGACAGGCTTGGGAGTCTAACTCATCTAACCTGTACCCTAAGGGTAGCAGAAATCCCCTGAACGTACCTTGGTCAGACATCCCTCTCTCCTCCCGTATTTCCAGTCGGGCTCAAGAAGGGTCATGAGCAGTTAGCTCCCTCGCCCAACAATCAGCTCCCGCCAGAATCAGAGGGGGTGCTCACATCACGTCTGGGGCACCAGAGATGTGACCCAGAAAGGCAAGTTAGCAAGGAGAGCTCCCTCAGAGAGCTGGCTGGAGCCTGGACCTCGGACCCCTTCACTGCCCACCTCCTTCTGTTGTAGCCTCAGTGGAAGCCGCCCTGGCTGGCCCCCAAACCCAAGTGCACGGCACCCAGCCCTGCCAGGCCATCGATGCTCCCAGGCAGTCTGGGTCCATTCCTGGGCAAGCCCAAGCGGGATCAAGTGTCAGTGCCACGCAGGGCTGCGGCAAACCACTTCACCTACCTTGTTTACAAGCCTTGAGTGCCAGCCGGGGACCACGAGCCGCGGGAACAGAGAAGGCTGTACCAGCCTGGGTCGGTCAGAGATAGCGTGGCAATGGGGCCGTTCTCCCTGCTCTCCAGACTGTGTTAAAGTTTAACTCAACTTCTAAGGCTTCTCCTTCCAAACAGGGACACCCGCCCCAAGAAGCACCCAGAGACTGACACTGATCCACACCCGGTTCACTCAGCCTGCCTGCTGCCCTGTAATTACCTGACAGTTCTAATTGAGTTTAGGAACCAGCGAGAAACCTCAGTCCCATCTCTGGTATCTGAAGGAAGGAAGGGAAATAAAGAGGCATTTTAAAAATGCGGACTCACCAGTTCTCAACCTCCCCGGGCCGGTGTGTGGGAAAGGGCGGGCAGCCGGGCTGGCTGGGGCGGGGCGGGCCATCCCCAGCTCCGGCTCCAGGGCCCGGCCCACTCTCCACAGGGCCTGCAGTGAGGGCGTGGCTCCCTGGGTCCAGGGCCGGGGAGATGGGACCATGGCCCGAGGCTCAGCAGCCTTCCCTCCGCACTGGGCGACCTGCAGAAGGAACCCCGAGACAGAAGGTGTTGACTGCTGGCTGGTAACCCCGGGCAGAGGCAGGCCACCTGGCAGGGTCACCTGTGATCCGGAAGAGTGGACCAAATGACAGTGTCCTTCAAGGACCTCGGGCTCAAAAGATGAACCAGGGCCTGTCACCCCATCAGGGGTATCTATTACTGAGTCTTCAGGGAATGTGAATGATTAACCAAAAGATTGGCAGTTCAAATCCACCCAGAGACCTCAGATGTTAAATCCTGGTAAAATAATCCTGAAAATCCAGTGACACACACAGTGTTGTTCTGATGCACACTGGGTCGTGGTGGGCTCAAATCTACGCTACTGCGATGGCTTGGTTTTTCTATTTGTAACTGTGTCCTTACACATGGTAGGGACAAAGAGTCATCATACACCTGAGCCTACTATGGGGACTCCACACCTCAGCTCTCACACCCTGAACCCCGCATATTTCATGCCAGGTCACAGCCCCAGATGAAAGAAACCCAAGTGGACAGAATCTTCAGAAATCTAATCCTTTTCCCCCCTCCAAAAGCAATCTCATTTTCCGATTGCATTTAGCAGGAGTAACTCCTAAGCTTCGAGTTCTTCTGTTGCTCAACCAGCTAATACTCTGAATATCAACATTTCACCAGGCAGGGGCTCAGACAGGGGTCAGTGACAATTCCATCTGCTCAGTTACTAAATTAGGTGTGCCTATATCAAATGCTCTGCAAGTCGGCTTGTTAATGTTTTCAGCGAGATTTCCTGGTGTCTACAATGGAGCAGGCAAAGATTCTCACTCTTCTCTACAACAGGGCAGGCAAAGATTCTCATTCTTCAGTTAGTAATTATTTATTTGACATGTGCCTACTATGTGCCAAGGGTTCTTTGATCAGGAGAGACACGGGCTAAATTTTACTCCCTTCAACAAATCTTCACAATCCGAACACATTACAGGTGAGGTTGGAGGTCCCCAGCAGCTGTTGTGGGAACTGGGTGGTGAGAATACTAGATTGTGGGGGAAGAAAGAGGATTGATCTCTTTTTTAAAACTTTTCTTTTTAAATTTTATTTTGTTTTTGTGTGTGTACCATCAAATTGGATCTGATTGGTACAGGAGATTGCCCCTCCTTCTCCAGCAGAGCATCTGGTGGATTTGAACTGTGTACCTCTGGGACTGCAGTGCAGTTCCTTGCCACTAGGCCACCAGAGCTCCCTGTGAGTATTGACCTCTCATGAACTAAGAGAATGAATAGAATACAGTTCAACCATTCATGTTTTTATTGAGCACCGATTATGACAGAAGAAGAGTCAGTCTTTGAGTTGATCAGTCTTTGAATTGAGGTGTTGGACTGCCAACAATCAGGTCTTTAAGAAAGTGCAGACAGGGTGCTTGTCAGAGGCAAGGATGGTGAAACTTCATCTTGTACACTTTGGGTATGTTGTGAGGAAGGGCCAGTTCTTGGAAAAAGACATCGTGGCAGCAAAAGAAAGGAAGACCCTCAATAAGATGGACCAACACTGTGACTTTAATAATGAGCTCAAGAATATTAGAGATGACGAATGAGGATGGCACAGGATAGAGCAAACTTCCGATCTGCTGTTCACAAGAGTGAGGATGAGTCGGAGTCAACCTGATGGTCCCTAACACACAGCAACAAATTATGAGCACCAGCGATCTGGTCCCAGGAGAGCTGGTGCTCCCAACCCAAAGGAGGTGTTTCTCTGCTGGCTGGAACCCACCATCAGCTTGGAGGGAGAAAGATGGGCAATCTCTTTCCATGCAATTTATAGTCTCCCAAATCCAAGGGGTGGGTCAGCTATGAGTCACCTCCGATAAAGTGGCAATGAATTTGAGCTTGAATATTGTGTGCAAGTCAGTTTGGAGGGAATTTAAGGAAAGCAAGGCACAGTCACACCCTCCCATCAAGCAGAGATGCCATTGACAGAAAGGAAGTCAAATTTTACCTTTGAGTCTGCAGGCCCTGCAGGCCACTTTTCCCACCCCTCCCTGCACTGAGCACTCTCTATCATGCAGCGTTGTTGTTGTAATGTGCCCTCAAGTTGCCTGCGACTCATAGCGACCCTATGCACAACAGCTCTGAACCCTGCCCTATCCTGAGCCAGTCTCACTGTCTCGGACACATCCATCCCCATTATCCCAGTTACTGTGTCAATCCATTCCATCCAGGGTTTTCCTCTCCTCTGCGGACCCTCTACCCTTCCAAGCATGATGTCAAAGGACTGAGTCCTCCTGGAAACATGCCCAAAGTATATGAGACAAAGCTTCACCTCCAAGGAGTAACTTGGTTTCACCCTCCCCAGGACAGACCTGTTTGTTCTCTTGGCTGTCCATGGTATGTTCCATACTCTTTCCCAGCACCACATCAAAGGCACTGATACTTCTCTCATCCTTAGTCACTGTCCAGTGCTCTGATAGATAGCACGTAACAGCGAAGACCATGGCCTGGTCAGGCACATTGTTGTCAGCTGCCATTAAGTGGGCCCATCACCACCACCCCCACTTAGGGAGCCATCCTCAGGGCTGCGGATCAGACTGCTGTGACCCTATTTGCTGATTTAAAGTAGTGGATTGTTAGACTTTCTAAGTTATCAGAGGGCGGTTGGGATGAATCTCAAGGGCACAGGTTTTAGGACGTGGGAGATCTGAGTATGGTGGGTAGAAAGAGGGGAAGGAAAAAGAGGGGGAGTCCAGGGTGGGGATGCATGAGGACCTATTGCCTGAGATTTGCTCTTCAGTTGAATCCTAGGAGGAGGCCGGGCTCCCAGTGAGCAACAGCATGGAGGCAGCTGCAGGTACAGTGTCACCAAGAAGGAGCAAGACGGTGCGGGTCACCCGAACAGGATGGAGGCAAATAAAGAAATAAGGGCTGGCTTCCCTGAAGAGATCAATATGGACCAGTGTGCAGGAGAAGGGACCAAGGAGAGCAGTCAGTCGAATGTCCTCTTCTCCAGGCTGCCTGGCACAGAGCTGGGCAAACAATTCACCCTGCAGACCAGCTGCCCAAGGACAAGAAGAGGGGCAGCTCCACCTGCGTGCTAGGCTGCTGGAAGGTGAGCGGGACACAGTGGAGGGAGAAGGCATGTCAAGAAATCAGCTAGGTCTCAGGGCCATGGGCATGAGACGCCTTCTACAGCTGTCAGGAGGGGAAGGCAGGGAAGGCAGCCAGGAAGGGGTCCGGAAGAAAGAGGGTGTGTCCAGGATCCCAAAGAGGAAAAAGCAGCTGAATTTAGCAACAGGAGGGGCATGGAGTTCAGGAGTGGCAAGGAATCCCAAATAAGCCCAAGGTTCTAGGCCGAGGAAAAAAAGCAATCTCACTCACATACGCAGCCTTTCCATGACCCACCTGGTACCCAGGGCCTCCACCAACCTAGGAGTGCGGTGTGGATGAGGTGGAAGTTTACACAGGGGAGGAATTAGTGCCCAAAGCTAGTTCAGAACCTGGCTCTGTCCCTGAGTGCGACCTTGGGAGAATGACTTTCTCTCTGTGCCTCATGATCTCCGTCTGAAAAATGGGATGAACTCTACTTTCTAAGGATAGTATCAAGATTAGACAATCAAAGCATGTATTAAAGGTTCAGAATACTGGCATATGTAAAGAGCTCAACATTTTTCTTTTTCAGCTGAAGGGAGTAGATGGCTACCTTCCCAGGTTTAGGCCAGATGGCAAAGCTGCAGGGTCAAGGATGTCCTCCTCCCCACAAAGCAGGGGATTCCAGTGACTGAGGGATAGATTTTACAAGAGTCCCAGGGATTACGGCTCTGGAAGGCGCAGGCCCCAGGGAGAGGGAGATGTTGGGAAGTTTGCACAGGGACAGGTACCAATCCAAGGAACCCACACATCTGGGTTTTCTAGGACACCCAATTTGAAATTGTCCTGCTCCCTTCTGAACTGAATAAAGAATTCATCACCCTGTGTCCATAAAGTCCAGTCACTGCAATACAGGGCCCCATTCTCAGCGAGGCTGCATTCCTGGCAAATGACTCTAGGCTGGCCAAGGAGACACCACTTTACCAAGGGCATGGGGAATGGCCAGGGCACGGATGGGTGCTCACCGGGCCTCAGGCAGCAGAAAAGCCAGAAACGGGAAGGGTCCTTCGCCTAGGTAGTCACCCTAGAGATTAGCTGTGCTCATGATGGGAGCAAAGGACACTCAAGAAATGGAATGCAGCTTTCTCTTTACAATCTTCAGGAGCAGGCCTGAGTTCAGCTCTCACTGGCAACGAGGAGCTGAAATCTGGGCTTGCTCTCCCAGCCGGGATTCCGCACTGCTCTGGAGGGCACCTCCTTCCTGAACCAAGGGTTGGCCCACACCATCACGGCCCAGCCGGGTGCAGGCAGAGAGCAAGCAAATGCACAGGGGGAGCGGTGGGGGGCCCAGAAGAGCAGCCTTCAAGGAGAGGGGGTGGCGGTTAGTAATACCTAACTCCCGAATAAGATCGGTGGTTCCCAGGCCTAGAAAACCGGAGAGGGGGTCCCGAAGCTGCTCCAAACCCAGGGGACGTGTCACTCCCATGCCCACTTCGCGGCACGTTCCCGGGCTCAAGCTGGACCGCGCCCGGGGCGCCTGGGGAGCGCGCGGGGCTGATCTCCCGAGGGGAGCCCTCCCCGCGCCCCCCGCCGTCCCGGACACCGGGGTCCCGCCACCAGCGTCGGCCCGCACACACAGCACCCCGACCCGCGGGCTTGGGTGGAGGCCGAGCGCCCAGCCTGCTCGGGCCCCCGACTCACCGGCCAGGCGGAGGCAGGATCTCCTTGTCGCCGCAGCGCCGGGGGCCCGGCCCGGCCGCTGGCAGGAGGTCGCTCCGCGCCGCCGCCGCCTCTCGGCCCGCCCCGCTCCGCCCCGCGCCCGCCCCTCCCGCACACTTTCCACAGGAAATGATTAACAGGGGCCGCGGCGCGTTCCCAAGGCAACCGGCTCCGACCCCTGTGGGGGGTGGAGGGGGCGGCGGCGCGCCAGCGCCCACGCGCGCTCACACGCGGGGTCTCGCGCCCTGCGCGTTCCGGCGCGCCCCGGGGTGACCCCCGCCGCCTTCCGCGTCCTGCGCACGGTGGTGCACGCGTGCGTGCCCACCTCCTGCACACACATACCTTCACTACAGCTCACACTTCCAGGGGCCGCTCCGCACACTACTACACACAGGCTGTCACGCGCTCACACTACCGTTCACAGCACACAGCACATTCACCGTCCTCACGCGGAGTCACATGCTCCTTAGTACGCGTGCTTTTGCACACTTGCTTTCTTTCTCATCTGCTCACACCAATTAGTACAGGTTTTCCCTCACACATTTTTACAGGTTCTCTTCACAGCCCAGTACCCGCCGAGTTGTGGACGCGTGCCCTGTCACCTTGTCACATGCACATACATGTGCACTGACACAGCGTACAAGCACGTGCGCACACGGGTTTTCCCACAGATCTTTGCACCGCTCTGGTTAGCGCACATACTTCTGCTCAGATTCACATTCTTCTACACGTTAGCATACACAATCTTTTAAACACACTCTTTCAGGAAGCTGTCGTGGCCTAGTGGCAAGGGCCTACGCTGCCAACCCAAAGCCACGTGGTTTTCATTCAACAGTTGCTCTGCAGGAGAAAGGCGATTTCCTCCCATGTGATTTACTGCCTCTGAAAATCCACTGGTGGGTCAGCTGTGACTCCGTTCTGAATGGAGAGGGCATAACAACAGCAACATACTCTTTCAGGGATCCCTGGGTAGGTTAACAGTTAAGTGCTCAACTACACCCCGAAAGGTTGGTGATTCAAAGCCACTTTGAGGTACTTAGGAAGAAAGAGCTGGCGGCCCCCTTCTGAAAGGTCACAGCCTATGGAATAGCTCGCTCTACTTAAGATATGACTTGATGACAACCTCAACAACATATACTTTCTTGCAAACTGCTGCATTCATAGGCACTTTCTCACATCTTCCCATATTTTCGCACACTACCCTCACTCATGCTGGGTACAGACAGAGCAGGCTACCTTCCCAGCTGCAGCAAAACCCCCATCCCACTCCAGCAGGTAAATATTTCCCAGGAAGCTGATTGGGGGATTTTAAGTGAAAATGTACTCAGGGTACCTCTGCTCCAGTAGCAGGCTGACGCTCCCAAGCCTAGCCCCAGACGTCCTGACCCTTCTCGTGGGGTGTGGGGGAGGCCAGGGAGCTGGCTGGCCAGGAGAGACAGCTGACCCGGAGGAACCAGTCTGTTCTTTGTCTCCGGAACAGAGGCGGCCTTTTATTCCAGAGTCAGCACACTGTTCCCCTCCAGGGTGCGGAAGAAGAAAGCAGCTCTGAAGCGAAGCCAGCCCAGGCCAATGGCTCTACAGATAAACAGAGCAGGGTGGGCACTCTGCCCCTTCCTGTGAGGCAGGAGGGCTCCCCAGGAGCAGGGACAGAATCAAGGAGCGCTGGTCCATCGTCTGCTGCTACCAGGACCATGGGCTTGATCACAGACAAAGCCTTTGTCCTGGTCCGTCCCTTCTGCGGAAGATCTTATTTTCCAACTGTAATGGCCCAGTGAAGGCTCAGCGGAGGTTGTATGCCACTCACCTGGGGTGCTCTCTGGAGAGTTAGTGCTTTAACCACTGAGATGCCAGCACATCTCTCTCTAATCCCTATTAATTTATTAAGAAATGTGCAAAGGAAAAAAATTTAAAAAAGAAATGTGCAAAGAGCTAGAGTTAGGAAACCAAAAGGGAAGAACATGCTTGGGATTTCTAGAGCTGAAAAAGAGAAAAACAGAAAAACACAAGGGAGCTCTGGTGGCCTAGTGGCAAGAAGCTGCGCTGCAATCCCAGAGGCTACGGTTTGAATCCACCACATGGTCTGCTGGAGAAGGAGGGACAATCTCCTCCTGTACCAGTCAGATCTGATTTGATGGTACACACACAAAAAATAATAAAATTAAAAAGTAAAAGGAAAGAATTATGTAAAAAAACAACAACCCAACACCACACAAATGCAAGCCTTGAGCAGCAATACTGAAGAACTCTATGGGCAAAGTCTTGTGTAATGCAAGAAGCATCAGAAAAAGATTGAAGGAATATACAGAGTCACTTTACCGAAAAGAATTGGTAGACACTAAATCATTTTGGGAGATAATATATGATTAAGAACTAACAGTAATTAAGAAAGTAAACATTACACTGAATGCATGGGGGGAGGGAACGGACTTAGGAATTGATGGACTACCAATTGACATATTTCACTAATATAAAATTTTGCTCCTCTCCAGACCACAGCCACTGAGGCCTGAGATGGACACGGAGGCCCGGACAAAGCTCGGCGTGGTGGTCGTCGGCAAGAGCAGAGCTGGTTCTGTGCAGATGAGCGACTTGCGCGATTCCCATGCGTCCTCAGCATTCCTGAATCTGACGGCCTTTGTGGCTAGGCAGTTTCTGACGGCCAGCAAGCATGTCCTTGTCGAGTACCTCATGACACAGCAGCTCAGGAACTCTGGGAGCTGGCTGAGCAGAAAGGAAAAATCATACATGAGGTGTCTGTTGAACTCTTGATGAAAGAATTTGCTTTTCTGGAGAAAGAAGTGGTAGGGAAAGAACTATTGAAAGGATGTCTCCTCTTCACAGTCTGCTGACACGGCCTGAAGCAGAGCAGATACTTGAGCTTCCATTTCAAATCTGAGTCCCAATGTAGAAGTCAACAAGCACATTTTTTTTGAAAGATCAAAATATATTTGTTTAAAATCTCTTGGGCCAGTTTTCTAAGAAGGAGCTGGCTGTGGAGGAAAAGTGTATCCTCTATTTCCTGGAGTTTGCTGAAGAAATCCAGAAACACTGCCACCCCAAGAAGTAGAATGGGCCTGAGTCATGTTCCAATGGCCCCATAGCTGTGTTACACCAAGACTCTACTCTGACATTTAAACTTGTTTCCTCAAGTAAAACAAGCAAGCAAACAAACAAACAAACAAAACCCCACAAACAAGAAAAAAAGCCATTATGGATCACACTGAGAAGAACTGGAATCCCAGAACACTTAACTGTGCTCATGTGAAATCTCTGTACAGGCCCAAAATTTATTATCCAAATAGGATAAGGGAACACTGCATGGTTTAAAATCAGGAAAGATGTGCATCAAGGTTGTAGCCTTTTTCATACCTATTCAATCTATATGCTGAGCAAATGATTTGAGAAGCTGGATTAGAGGAAGACTCATAACAAGCTGCATTATACAGGTGACACAACCTTGCTTGCTGGAAGTAAAGTTGAAATACTTGCTGCAAGAAAACAAAAATTCTCACCACTAGACCAAGAGGGAACACCACGATAGATGGAGGTAAGATTGAAGCTGTCAGTGGTTTCATTTTACTTGGATCCACAATCAACATTCACTGTAATGTTGTTGTTGTTGTGATGTACCATTGAGTCCCCTGTGACCCATAGCGACCCTATGTATAGCAGCTCTGGACCCCTGCCCTGTCCTGAGCCAGTATCATTGACTCTGACACACCAACCCCCATTGCCCCAGTTACTGTATCAATCCATCTCATCTGGGGTTTTCCTCTTCTGTGCCATCCCTCAACCCTTCCAAGCATGATGTCCTGATCACTTCTTCCTGGTCACATGCCTACAGCATGCAAGATGGAGCTTCAAAATCCTAGCCTCCAACAAGAAACTTGGTTTCACCCTTTCCAAGACAGACCTATTTGTTTTCTTGGTGGCTCATGGTATATTCAAGACTCTTCTCCAGCACAACTTGAAGGCATCCTTAATCATTGTCCCATCTTTGTGATGCATAGCACATAATTCCGAAGACCACGATGGCCTGGATCAGGTGCACTTTAGTCTCTAGACTGCCATCTTTGGAGGACACACCTCAATCTATAACAAAATATATAAGCTAACAGGAAGCTCTGGTGGCTTAGTGGTAAGGAATTGCACTGACAACAGAAAGGTACATAGTTCAAATCCACCAGTTGCTCTGTGGGAGAAGGTTGGGCAATCTCCTTCCATGCAATTTACTGCTACTGAAAACCTGCTGGAAGGTCAGCTATGGGTAGGTTCTGACTCAAAGGTACGCAACAATTTTTTTCATGATTGTTTCAATTTAAAAAAATAAAAAGACGCTTCAACCATTTAGATCCTCCCAGAAGAGCTGTGGGTGAGCACTAACATTACTGGTAAGTATATTCGTTTTCTCCTGGGCACAAGAGCCTACTATTTGGTCCTAAAAGCCTTCTGAGGTCCCAACTCTTCTCACTATTTCTTAGTTGTTGGAATTAATGGAAAACCTCATAAGCAGTTCCTTATT